CATAAATTCAGGGAAGTCTTCAACAGAATGGGCACAAGAGCCATATAATCAATATTGTGTGATTCATTCAACAACCATTTGCCCACTGTGATATTGGGCGCTGGGTATGGTGGTCCATACAACAAACACATCTGATCTCAGCTCCTGCTCTCAGACACCCGGCCCGGGCCACAGGGCTCCAGCTGGGCTGAGGCCACCCTGGGGCCGAGGCCCCCCTTGCCCCTTGGAGCCGCAGGCACACAGCTGGCCACCAACCTCAGCTCAGGACACAGACATCAGGAAAGCCTGGCTCCCTCCCCCCATGCCAGGAGACGTTAATCCACTCCTGTCCCCGCCTGACCACCATGATGCCCCAGGGCCAGCTTATGCGGTGACAACCTGTTCTGAGACACACAGGGGTAAGGCCAAGTGCTCTGTGCCCTCGGCTTCCCCCTCGGCCCACAGCCAGCCCCCGCTGAGCACCTTCACCAGGACAGGATAGCCTGGGTGAGCCTGGGCTCACACTCTGAGCACAGGCTGTCCCTCCTCTGTCCTCTCCTCCCTTGGGCTCCCACCCTGTCTAGACACCTTTCATCCTGCGGTTTCTCCTCCTCAGCACCAGTGACACCAGACAAGCCTCCCCCACGACAGCAGGGGCTGCCCTGTGAATTTCGGGGTGCACAGCGGCATCCCGGCCTCCACCCACTGGGTGCCAGGAGCTCCCCCCTCCCCCCACCAGCAGCGTCATGTCAGGTCATGACACCAGAAACAACTCCAGATAGTACCACAGGTCCTCTGGGGACAAAATCGCCGGGCCCCACCCCGGCTGGGAATCCCCAGCCCCCCAGCCCCCTCTGCCTGCTTCCTAGGGTGATTTTCACCCTCCCCAGGACCCGACGAACACGGTCAGAATGTCCTTCAGAAATCACGTCGGTAGAGAAGATCCAGGACTACATTTGTTTGCTATTTTCTAAATATTTTTGAGAGAGAGAGAGAGAGAGAGAAAAAGAGAGAGAGAGAGAGATGGAATGAGTGGGGGAGGGGCAGCGAGAGAAGGGGTCAGAGGATCCGAAGCCGGCTCTGTGCTGACAGCAGAGACCCTGACACGGGACTCAAACTCACAAACTGTAAGACCATAACCTGAGCTGAAGTCGGACGTCTAATCAACCAAGCCACCCAGGCGCCCCCTAAGTGTCATTTCTGATTTTTTGTCCCGATCCTCCGGACTGCACGCCATGCAAGAGAGTTATTTTTAGCCCGTTTAGTAAAAGGAAATGGAGCACAGGGAGTCAGATGACTTTTCTGGGGAGAGCGCGGTGCTGAGTGTAGCGGGCTGGCGTCCCATCGGGAAGGACACCGGTGGGTGGCTGACGTGTGCACCCTGAGCTCACGATGCCGTTCCTGACAGGCTACTTACTCGTGGACGTAAAATCTAATTCTTTAATTCTTGTATCTGTTTTCGTTTTTTTCACTTTTATAATCTCTCTTAACAGGCATGTGTCGGGGCACCTGGGGGGCTCAGTCAGTTACACGTCCGACTTCGGCTCAGGTCAAGGTCTCTCGGTTCATGAGTTCTAGCCCCGCATCAGGCTCTCCGCTCTCACTATAGAGCCTGCTTGGGATCCTCTGTCTCCCTCTCTCTCTGCTCCTGCTCACCCCCCTGCCTCTCTCTCAAAAATAAATAAACATTTAAAAAAATTAAAAAAAAATAAAAGCTCATGTGTTGTCTTCACTCTGTTCTTTAATTTTGCATCAGCCTGGGGCCAAAACCAACACAATTCTTTTTTTTAATTTTTTTATGCTTATTTATTTTTGAGAGAGAGGAGAGACAGAGCACAAGCAGGGGAGGGGCAGAGAGAGAGGGAGACACAGAATCCGAAGCAGGCTCCAGGCTCTGAGCCGTCAGCACAGAGCCCGACGCAGGACTTGAACTCATGAACCGAGATCACGACCTGAGCCGAAATCAAGAGCCACCCAGGTGCCCCCAAACCAAACACAATTCTGACTGACAAAACTAAACGAGCGCACTGATGCACTGGGATCTCCCGAATAATAATGTGGAAATACCATCAATCCACATGTAAAGACCCTCCCAGAACGAGCTGGGTCTTCCCTAGATATCGTAGCCATTGTGTTCTTGGGGTCTGGGAAGTGTTTTCAAAGGGGGTGCAGATGGTTTTGGGGACACACCCGTCAGAGAGCCCAGCCAAAGAAGCGCACGGTAAGGACGCCATGGACCGCAGTGTGTCCCCACGAACAAGTCTCCCTGATGAAATCCCGGAGCTTGCTCGCACCTCCATTTTGCTGATGGAGGAAGAGGTGATGGAGGAGGGGAGAGTGACAAGCCCAAGGTCACGCAGATGGAGGGAACAGGGAGGGAGCCCCCCCCAGCCTTGCCTGTGTCACCTCCATCACAGTCCTGGGTGCCTCCCTCAGTGTCCAAGGATGAACCCTGTGAAATTAACACCCTCTCCTAAAGACATGGTGGCCACTTCACACCGAGGTGCTAGGAGGCTGAACAGTCCTTGTCACAATATTGCTGTTAAAAATCTGTTCTGGGGGTGCCTGGGAGGCTCATTCGGTTGAGAGTTTGACTTCGGCTCAGGTCA